CCTGGTTAATTTGTCGAGCTGTCTCGACTGCGGATTGACCCAATTTGTAGTTGAAGAAAAATATCGTCCGAAGTTGCTCTTTTGACATGCTTCAAAAAGTCTTGGGAAAAGGGTTTATCAAGCAATGGTGAAACGGCAATTATACCATCAGATAGCGCAAAAATTCTCTTCAGGATGTACTACTGAGACGCAAGGGAGAATGAGTTTTTAATCAGCAATGAATGTACAAAAAATAGTAACACAAAACGCTGAGAACTTTCCGGACAACCTAATACTTAAAACTTCAGTGATAAGCTTTAATGACTGGGCTTCTCGCTGCGATCAAAGTCAGCGATCTGTTTTCGAACGGGATGATAAATGTTTTCTTTTCTTCTGGCTCATTGATTATCGCCCACGGCTCGACCAGTGACTGGGATGTTTTTGATTTTTGTCTGGTTAGCTGAGATTTTGAAACCAAGTCATGTGAAGAGCAGTTTAGCAGGTACCAGGGGATGAGAGATGACCTTTCACTGTCGCTCAATCTCTTTTGATGTGTTCAGCTTCAGTTCAGAGTGAAAATGGCTCCTGTATGCGTTATGGCCTGCAAGTAATGAATTACAGTGGCTAGGCGATGCAAAAATCAACCTCTCCCTTCTAGAAGGGTCTGTTATATACCCTAGAGAAAGAAAAGCTAGGCTAAGCCGGCTGAAAGCAGTTTATGATTTGATAATAGGATACTAGGATAATAGCGCGTAAAAGTCGTCGTCGGAGGGTCCTTCTGGAAGGTCCAGCACCACTTCTCTGGCTCATTCCTTGCAGCTCTTTAACATCTACTAGTCTGGATTCTTACGTGACATTATGTCTTCGAACTCAAGTGAAACGGTCTGAGGTAAAAATAATTGACCATATTCTAAAGAAAATTGCATTTAACATTATTTTGTGATGCAGCGTGTTGAGAGGCAGCACGAAGCGAATACGAAATCTGTATTAATACATATACAATACACTGATGGGATTGGGTGAGAAAGAGGTCATTCGCATCCAGTCTTTACGGCAAATAGATATTATAACACATTGGGAGCTGTGTAAGATAGTCTACGTACTTTTTGGCTTATGAAACCTGCAGCTGCTTGAAGCGATCAGATCAGTGGCCTTCTTGCAAGTCCAATTCAGGTACGCATCTGGAGTAGTCATTCGGTTACTCAACCAAATACCAGCGACAGTAATGTCACTATG